GCCCCCCCCCCCCCCTCTGCTTACTTCCCCTCAGTCAACGGTCCACGCCATGCCACGTCACGATATTCTGGTCCGATGTACTCTATAGGTTCCCCTCTGCTCACTTCCCGAATATAATTTTTAAACTATTCTTTCTGGTGGTCCAGAAAGGACCGCTTCTTATCCAGTATCAGTACAGCAGGAAGCCGAAACCAGTTTTTAGTCAGTACTGGCCAGCTAGTAGCTATATCATATGCAACAGTTCTCCCTAGAGGTCCAGTAAGGACCATCTCCACCCTGATAATCAACTCCAGGGGCCGCTTTTTCAAAGCTGGATTAGCGCTTACCCTGGCCCTTAATTTATAGCCCACTGTTTTTGGTTTAAATACATAATTATGCACTTCTGTTCGTTTCAAAACTTTGGCAAATAAAACTTCTATTGATCCAGACATGAATTGTGAAACTATCTACCTGTTTGTAAACATGAGTTGGGAAGATTGCTTTGAAATTTTCGCTAACCCAGGATTAAGCTAACTATGCAGCTTTTGTACAACCGGCCCCAGAAGTGTTATACTCTTTCACCAAATACGGTCACAAACAGAATAACACTTTTGAATTTGGATTCAACTCCTTGAAATTTAATAGTGTAATTAGTCCACGTTAATTACTAAAGGAAGAAAGCTAAATTAAAGTAATTTTATTCGCTATTGAATAACTGCAACATTTTTAAACTATCCTCCATACGGGTTTAGTTATGTTCATAGTGATACGTTAGCCGAAAAAAGCCAAAAATCTTCCATCATTGTTACAGTCAAACTAGAAACTAAGATGATACAGAAATTTAAATCAGAGAAATATGGTGAAAATGCGGGCCGAATCAAGCCAAACCATGCACAGCGGTATATATCAACACATGATGCAGCTTTGAAACATGCTTGTAGCGTAGGATAAACACCGACAACGGAGGCCTTAAGCAGAAGATTAAAGGCTTGAGTTTATAGTTGCCTCAGCTCTCTTTAGCATAGAATAGAGATTCCGTGTCTTTGTCTTTAGGCAATTATAAATTCATTACATATAACCCATGGGAATAATTGCACGGTATATAAACGAAAACGGCCACGAAGGTACCGAAACATCTTAATTAAGGTACTTATGAAAGAAAAAAGGAAAGATTTGGGAAAAACAAACAGTTTTGATATTATTTGATATTATTTTTGTATTCTCTAGTTTATACAGTTAGCTACCTTTTTAAATGCATCTGCCGGTTGAGAAACATAAAATAATAGTTAAAAATTGTCAATTAAAATACAATTATCAATGATGCTTTAAAATTGACGCCATGCATATTTGCAGCCATTTTAGCAAAACTTACTGAACTTCAGACATCATTTTCTCTTTGGCGTGTCATCTAAAATCCCTTAATTCATTTTAGCATTATTTTACAGATAAAGCACTAAACATACTTTTTAAGTTTGTTTGCCGATTGAGAAACGTATCGAAAAAACTGAAAAATTTTGAATTTAGTCATAACCACAAGTGGTATATTATACGCATCAGTTTTGAGCGCGTGTTACGTAACATACAAAAACATCTCCTCTTAATCTGATGACGTCTCAAAGTGGATCAACTTTATCATGACAGTCCACAGGACGCTTATGTTTTTGTATGCAAGACTAGTCGGTTGAATCATCTAGATCTGAATTATTTTATCTATCCTGAACAGTGAGCTTTATGGCTTTAATTAACGTGCTGCCACCTTTCAATATATTTTACTAGTTTGTGACGTCATAGATTTATTTAATTTTCATATCAAACAAACTAAAATACTTCAAGAATGACAAGGGTAAAGAAAAGTTGTAAAATATTTTATTTTACAGCCTAACGAGTTCTTTCTCTCCAAACAGACGTAAATTTTATTGTTTTTACCCTTAGACATTGGGTACATTCACTACTACATTGAAAAAGGCCGAAATATAACAAAACTTTAAACACCATTGAGACCCATTTTTATGTGTGGCTGCCTCCATCGTGGACATAACTGGTTGAGACTACCTTTCCTTATATCATGCGAAATTCGCATATTGCTTATGACCATAATAGATAGCTTAACATCTACGACGTCGACGTCAGCTAGGACGTCAGGGCTAAGCAGAGGACTGGCACTACGACGTAGACATTTAAAATATAAATGTTTGCAATTTTGCATCTTTTTGAAAATGAATTTAAAAGAGACGTGTGAACCATTACCGTTTGTTATGTTCTTGTATTTAAGATGGTAAAACTCTTGTTGTGAGGTTGTCGACGTTTAGTGGACGACGAGCAAATTGAGAGAGACACATGCACACTTCAAAACTATTACCAATTTACTTCCGCTTCCGCCCTAAATATTTGACGTCGTAGATACTTGGGCTATCGACCTATTTAGGACGACGTCCTGGTCCCAGTCCTCTGCTTAGCCCTGACGTCCTAGCTGAGGTCGACGTCGTAGATCTTAAGCTATCTATTTTCTCTGTGACAATGTGTTGCGCTTGTAATGCGATGTGTACAATGTGTACAATGTAATGTGCATTTGAACTGGTAAAATTTCGATGAATGGTTTCAACCGTTGTGCGCAAGATTGTAGTTCATGCGGCATGTTTATATCAGTCGCATTTATTAAATATACACGGCACAAAAATTTATTACTAATTCTCTATTTCACCGTGATTGTCATTTAAAGTAAATAATGATAATAATAAAAAAAAGACTATACAAACGAACTGGTCATACGACATATGAGCATTAAATTCTTATACTCATTAAGTTCAAATTGGAATGATTTCTAGTTCCCAAATTAACTAAATTCTAATTAGGTATTCTACCTAAGTTCCAATTTCTAAATATCAGTTTAATTAATCAAATTACGATTGCTGGTTCTGAGTTTAAGTGCAGACTGGAGAACCATAACAATAACATCGTCCTCCAATAGCTGCTCCAAAGCTATATCCATACGAACATCTTCTCCCGTACTGCCCATCTGCGTGTGCTCTCTGATCTCGCGCTGTCGCCAATCGTTGTGCCAGCAGTTATGACCACATGTTCTTTTTGGAACGGTTACACAACGTGGTGGACCGTAACAAAAACAGGTACCACCCCAAAAGTACGAGTAATGACATCTCTTATTTTCTGCTCCAAAGCCATGTCTTGTTGCTTCTGAATCACGCGTTCCCCAATCATTGTGCCAACAATTGTCACCACACGTAAAAGCTTACACCACGACGTCGCAAATTGCGGAAACCAAAAGTATCACAGTTATCATTACCAACACTTTGGAAACCATCTTGAATTTCGTTCTATAGTAAATATTGAACAAATTAGTTAGCTATTATGGCCTTATATACGAGCGCCAGAAAGCTGTTGTAGCCTAGGTGAGTCGTTTATTTACTTTATTTGATATGTGCAGGTCAAGTTGCGGTAACCCATAAGGGATATGGAGTTCAAACTTTAAAGGTAGTTCTCTAAATAACAGCGTGACTTATCTGGAATTCACTGCGTCCATAGATCAGAAATGTTACTGCAGTATATATAGAAGCCAGCAGAGTATTATATCAGGTCATGCAGTTTTGGAAAACAAGTATATTAAATGAGTAATGGTTAAATTCAAGTCTCCAGTTTTTTGCATGAGATTGTGTCTGCTGACTTATAGGCCATATGCTTGTTAGAATGTTAGTTGAGTCGGGGACTATACAAAAATCTACAAAAATGCATTGACCGTTTCAGTCGGTTTAGCGATTGAAAATTATGCTACAAAAGACAAAGAATTGTAATAAAGTATTCATACCTTGATCTTTCCTACTCTTCAGACTTGTTCACAGTTCAGCTTGCGGTTGACACTATAAAGCTACACACTAATTCCTTTCTTTTATATTCTCGTCCTGTGTAATAGGTTCCCCTCTTCTCACTTCCCCTCTCTCAACGGTCCACGTCATGGATGACGAGAGAATATTTCCCACAACTGTTTAAAATTATTCGCGAGAAGCAGTGCTTTGTCTATGATTTGGCGCAGGGAAACGTTTAATTTAGCCGTCGATAACATCAAAAATACAACTTTCGACTTTAGTGTTCTATATTAGTTGAAGAATCTATTTATATATTCTTCCTAATATTAGCTTAACTACAGTAGTTCTTTCCGTAATTATTAGTCAAGTTTTAGCAGGATGAGCCAAAGGAATGTTAAGTATAGAAGGTACAAGAGGTTAAATTTGGTGAATTCGCAGAGTAAAAATCCGAACTTTTCGCAAAATCGTTTGTACAGGTTTAGCACATAATAGTCCACACATCTTTTGCCCAATATTGCGCCATCCCAACAATATCAATGGTGTCGGTAAAAATACCAACTGACTATTGCTGTAATACAACGAAGTCGACCACATATTTACCAAGGCCTATATATGTGCCATTCCGAATATAAGATAAGCCCACCCGTGCATGTATGGGCTTAAAATTGGATAGGTATCTATTAACGTTTTGTAAAACTAAGAATCGCACTAATCATGCATTCTCCAAGAGGAAGTTTTGGTTTAACCAACTTCAGAGAACAAAGACTGTGATTATTCAAAGAATATGCATACAAACATGTGCGCAGCATGCATGTTTCGCATCACGATTTGGTAAGCATAATTGCAAAATTATTGCCAATAATGAAGCCTTAATTGGTCCCCTTGTCCTTACTTCCCCTCTCTCAGCGGTCCACGCCACGGTCACGGATCTCTCTCCTCTGCAGAGGCTTCTGTTGGCTATGATTTAATACGATTAGTACTAATTGAGATACATTTCACAGCACTTTCCATGGCGGATCTTGGAACACGAGCGGGAGCCGCACGGATGAACAGACCATTTTATATTCTGGTCCGATGTACTAGGTTCCCCTATTCTCACTTCCCGAATATAATTTCTAAACTGGTCTTTCTGGTGGTCCAGAAAGGGCCGCTTTTTATCTCATTAGTTTTTAGTGAGTATACTGGCTCAGCTCGATCTCTGCCAAAAATTAAGGCTATGTCTTAATTGTAAAAAGCGTTCAAATTAAAATATTGCCTTAACTTTTAAACCTAACCCCCACCCCAACCCCCACCCTAAACCCTAACCTTTAATCTAATCTTAGTCTGACCCTAATCCAATCCAAATCTAGCGACCTTTTTTTTCCCCAATATGCCTTAATTTTGGAGAATTTCAAATTTAAGCCATATCCTTAATTTTCAAAAGTTTTACAATTAAGACATAGCCTTAATTTTGAAAAGAGATCATGTTGACTGGCTAGCTCTATCATATATATAACAGTTCTTCCTAGAGTACCAGGAAGGTCCTGGATGATATATCTCTACACTGTAAATGTCAGAGAGTTGAATCAACTCCAGGAGTGTTATTTTGTCACCAAAAACGACGAGAGTTGATTTAACTCATTGAAATTTAATAGTGTAATTAGTCCACGTTAATTACTAAAGGAAGAAAACTAAACTAAAGTAATTTTATTCGCTATTGAATAACTGCAACATTCTTAAACTGTCCTTCATAGAGGTCCAGTTGGACCTTGCGATCATCGTTACAGTTATACTAGAAACTAAGAGGCATGCAGTGCTTCGTTTATCACTTGGTCGTGGGGAACGTTTTAGTCAGGCAGAGAACCAAAATTATGGAAAACTTACCATATCGTGGGACAATTCCATTTTACCTTCATATTGTGCCCTGAAGGCTAATAGCCTAAGTACGTTTCTGTATGTTGGCCGCATTCTTGTGGGCTCCTGCCGACACGTTTTTCTTCGAATTTTGTATTAAACTTTTATTATTACAGTTAAAAAATGTGAAATTTCTGCCGATACATTTCTAATACAAATGACTTGCATCAATAGAAAGCTAACAAAATACTACATGTGAAGTCATTTGTGTTAGAAATTATTTGAAATTTCACATTTTTGTGGCTAGCCCGTTCGCGGGCTAGACACATTCATATACCTAGATTGCAATCACTATATAGCTCAGTGATTGCAATGTTTGTCGGATGAGCAGAAAGTGTAACTCCAGTTGTTCATATAGATCTACGGCGCGTGTTTGTAAACAATATTTATCAGTATATAGACCTGAAACGAGGGGTATTCCGAAGCCCGAGGAATATTTCATCCCGCAGGGTAATTTTTTGTGGAATACCCCGAGTGAAAGGTCTATAAATGGTATATTATACCGAACCTTTCAAAAATAAGTAGAAAACAAATACCATTCAATTAACTTTTAATTTCAAAACAAGTTCAAAGTCGAATTTCCCGCTCAAGCGTGATATTCGAAGTCGAATACCATGGCCCCGGGTAAAACACCCAGGGTTCAAATTGCCTAGGTCATAGTATTCGCTGAAAAATACCATGGTCATGTGGTACAAATTTAGTTCTCTGATTGGACAAGCTCATTGTGAGGTATATTAGCAAATATCACTGCGAAGAACTGTTCTTTTAATGCGTTAAAACGTCGCTTTTGAGCCAGAGACTTTTCGGATCTTAAAATTTAAAGGTAAGTAAGCTTTTTTCTTGTAAAATAGCATCCTCAAATGCTGTCTGTGTGCTTCAATTAACCCACTATGCCGCATTGGTTTACTAGGCATTTTAATAGTTGTTAAGGGGAGAGCTTGCAATATGTCATAAACTCATACTTCACAAACACGCTCCCAAATTCACTCTACTTTAGTACGTTGTTTTAATCTGTGTTACACTATGCCGCATTGGTTCAGTGTGCAATGTTTCTTTTACTTTTGTCGTCGCTTTTGTCTTTGTGTATATATTTTTGTCGTGGTTTACTGGTTTTTGTCTTTATAAATATAATTGTGTATAAAATTATGCCAGATTGACAAAGGTGAGAGCTTTCAAATATGAATATATCTTGTTAAACTGCTACAATGCACCCAAATTGACCCTACATTGTTGTTTTAATCTATGTATAAACGCCAGACGATTAACCAAACAATCTGCTAATATTTCTTGTTAACCCACCAAGTTGCAATATATGCAAAAAATTATGCCCCAGATAATTTTACTCGATAACACCACAGAATAGGAAGTTATACCAGAAGCGTAACTCTAGTCGTTTCCGTTATTGTTTGACGTCCACGAAAATTTTAACTCGCTCACGTCAGGCCACGTACGCCATCCTGGCTAGTACAGCCGGAAGTTTTTATCAGGATTTGGTAGGTACAAAGTGCCGGTTGTACTAGCCAGGATGGCGTGATTGATGACGAATCGCTTGTAAAAACGCGGACAAATATTTGCTCGAGTTACGCTTCTGGTATAACTTCCTATTCTGTGATAACACTAGACAATTTTACTTGTAGCTAAAAGCCAGTTGTTCAAATCAGGATTAGTGCTAACCCTGGGTTAAAAGTCAATTACCCAAGTGCTATTTTGGTTTGTGTATTTCTGTACGCCTGTGTCTAATGCCAGACGATTTTACTTGTCAAAGGAAAAGTGTGGATGTTATAGTTGGTCGTTGCAATATATGCCGAAATGCACCCTACCTTTTTCTTTTATTTTGTCTAATGCCAGAAGATTTTACTCAATAACACTTACCTAGACAATTTTACTTCTGCAGCCAGGTGTTCAAAGCAGGATTAGCACTAACCTTTGGTTAAAATTCAATTACCAACTATTTTGGCAGTGACAAACACTATGGAGGCGAAGGGCACCCCCCCCCCCACCCCCACCCAATATTTTCTCTAAGCCTTTGAATAATAGCTGATTAACTGTGTAACAAAACTGTATCAATGATTTTACTATCATTAAATCCTTGATAGGCTATAGTAAGTGCATGATACTTAAGCCAAAAGGGTTCTAAGAATTAAGATTTGCGGCAACAAATGGGTGGTTATATTTTGGTAACCTAAGCCTCCAAAGTAGTTATACATGTATTTTCTCCGTAATTTTTAGATTTTGCAAACTGTCCTATTGTGAAGAGTTGCCGACACTTCGGAACCAACGTGTTTACACTGACCAATTTCTAAAAATATGTTATTTTATGTTATTTAAAGAGTATTATATGACTTTCAACTTACAAATGTGTTGATGATGTCTTGATTTGAAAATTAATTAGTTTGCATACACATACTTTTAAACACATAGTCGTGAATTAACAGACTTGCCATGGGCGAGTGATCGCGTGCGCGCACCTGCACACATGCTTCGAATTATTGCAGTGCGCAATTTACCATGCGCCTCGTTCTGTATTAATTAATTACATGTGTGCATTTGGAATATTGGGAATGGAGCTTGCAATTTCCCAAGTTGCTTACCTATAAATTACTGAAGTGCTATTTAAAGCACAATGTCAAATTGCTGTTTTCCAAAACCTTGGTTCTTTTCTTGTAACTATTTAATTGTGCCCATATTTTTAGGTAATTTAAATCATGCAAGGAAGGAATTCGTCCGTTTTGCAACCACATGCCTGGCATTAATATTACGTGTCTGTAAAATGCATTTGGCCAGGCCTAACTAACTGATTTGGCACATTTAAGTGTGCCAAAATTCGTTAGTAACAAATTTTGGCTAGCTACATGTACGCATTGCGTGCCTATTTTTTAACTGTAATAGAGTTCAGTCCAACATTCGAAGAAAAACGTGTCGGCAGGAGCCCACAAGAAATTTCAACACGTCCAACATACGGAAACGTACTAACTAGCCTTCAGGGCACAATATGAAGGCAAAATGCCGGGAATTGTCCCACGTACGATAACGTAAGTTTTTTCCTTCTATCTGCCCGACTATTTAGTTTAGCCGTTGGTAGGCCTAACAGCAAAACTGATACAATTTTGATTAAGTGTTTCTATATTAGCTGATGAATCTATTTATATTCTTCCTACTACTGGCTTAACTAGACTTTTCCTAATTATTAGCCAAGTATTAACAGGATAAGTTTAAGGAAAGTATAAAAGGCACAAAATATTAAATTTGGTAATTCTTACGGTCAAAATCCGAACTTTTGGAAAAATCGCTTTGAAAGATAATGGGTTTAGCACGCACATCCTCCGCCCAATACAGGGACAGGGTGTCCCCCAAAAAGCCAAAACTATTGAAAAAACGTATTGTATATATCAAAGATTGCATATTGACGCAAGTAAATTTTATGCATAAAAAAACGTTTAAGAAGCTGTTTTAAATTCCCAAGAGAAGAAAATCCTGCGCTTTACAAAGATATTTCAATTTCTCAATAAGTCAATATTTAATATATGCATCCTTGTCAATATTTTACGCATCTTTGCATTCAGCAGAGTGCTGAGGTATTCAAATTCTAACAATATGTTATTTAAATAGTTTTGCGGTTTTTTTGGGACAGCCTGTATTGGGCCATCCCAACAGTATCAATGCGTGGTTTCGGTATAAGAATTCTAATTGCCCCGTGTATAGTACAATCAGAATAGAAAATAGGTCAGAAAAAATTAGTAAAAAGCCAATAATTAGCGTATGCACTCTCTTCAGCAACCTTGATAACATACTAAAAGTCCTCATGTATATCCTCTTGGAGCTTTCTCCATTATGACAAGTGTTTTGTTCGATTTCCCTAGTGAACTCCTATATTGTTAAAAAGTGAAATTTCAGATTCATTTATAGGAAAAATAAGTTACATCATTAGAAAACTTACAAAAAACTACATATAAGACATTTAAACGGCTACCTTGATTTTGCAAGTTCTTCTTGAGTTATAAGCTGTTGCATGGAAACGTGTTGTCAGACTATAGTACCCAGGGTTTTTGCCAAATTTTGGCATATTTGTCACATTTGGAACAGCAATATATAACTCGAAAACCGCTTGAAAAATTTAGGTGACTGTTTAAATGTCTTATATATAGTTTTTATGAGCTTTCTAGTGATTCGAGTAATTTTTGTTATGAGTGAACTTGAAACTTCACGTTTTTTAACCGATATGGGAGTAATAGGGAAATCGAAAAAAACCTTGTCATAATGGAAAAAGCTCCAAGAGGATACATGGGGACTTTTAGTATATTGTTCAGGAGAGTTAAATTATTGCATCTAACAATTTTTAGCTTTTTACCATTTTTTCCAACCTTGGCCTTAAAATGAGCTAAAATTACTGAACTATTGGTGTTATACATGCAGGGTGTCTAAAAAAAAACGCTATGGAAATTCAACAGGCTGTTGTGCATCATAAACGTGGCTGAACAATTCAATTTTTACATAGGATGAAAGAACAGTTATTTATCATTTCAATGATACTCTTTTTAAATCGAAACGATGAGAAATGGCTACATACTCGTCGAATAAAAATTGCCGCGGTCGAAATCACATTCTTCCACCGTTGGCAATTGCATGAAAAACGAAACATATACTGTATGTTTGATTGATTAACTTTGCATAATTAATGTTTTTCAATTCCCAATGGTAGAAGAATGTGATTTCGAGTCTTCGACCGAAAATTTTTATTTGACGAGTATATGTGTCCATTTCCATCGTTACGGTTTAAGAAATAATTTATATCATAGAAAAGCTAAATAACAGCTCTTTCGTCCTATGTAAAAATTGAATTGTTTAGTTACGTTTGTGATGCACGACAGCCTGTTGAATTTCCATAGCGTTTTTTTTATAGATTTATTTCATTTGCATATCAAAATAATTTATTTCTCAGTTTAACGAGTTCTTTCTCCCCAAACACACGTTAATTTTACTGCTCTTATACCCTTTAAATATTGAATACATTAAAAAAAGCTGAAATAACATTAAACAATAAACCTCACCCATATACAGGTATAAGCGTGGTTGCCGTCGTGGACAATAACATAGCTGGTTGAGACTACATTTCCTTATTATTTATATCATGCAAAATTCGCATATTCCTTATGATCATAATTAAGTTCGCTGTGACAATGTATTGCGCTTTGTAATGTGTTGTGTACAATGTGTACAATGTAATGTGCATTAAGTTGTAAAATTTCGTTGAATGGTTTCAACCGTTCTGCGCAAGATTGTAGTTCATGACGCATGCTTATATCAGTCGCATTTATTAAAAGCACACGTGCGCACAAAAATAGATTACTAAATCTTTATTTCACCGTGATTATCATTTTAAAGTAAATAATCATAATAACTGAAAAAAGGTTACAAACGAACTGGTTATGCGACATGTGTGCACTAAGTTCTTACTCATCAAGTCATCATCAGTGTTCAAATTACAATGATATCTATATTCCCAAATTAATTAAATTCTAATTAGGTATGCCCAAATTAACTAAGTTCTAATTTCTAGATCCCAGATTCATTAATCAAATTATGATTGCTGGTTCTGAGTTTAAGTGCAGATCGGAGAACCATAACAATAACATCATCCTCCCTGGCCATATCCAAACGAACATCTGCTGCCGTATTGCCCGGCTCCTCGTGCATGCTCTCTGATCTCGCTGTCGCCAATCGTTGTGCCAGCAGTTATGACCACATCCTATGCCTTTTACGTGTACACAACGTAACGGACCGTAACAAAAACAGGTACCACCCCAAAAGTACGAGTAATGACATCTCTTATTTTCAAAGCCATGCCTTCTTGCTTCTGAATCACGCGTTCCCCAATCATTGTGCCAACAGTTGTCACTACATGTAAATAAAGCTGACACCATGACGTCGCAAATTGCGAAAATCAAAAGTATCAAAGTTACCATTACCAATACTTTGGAAACCATCTTGAATTTTGTCAGTTCTACAGTAAATATTGAAAAAATTAGCTATTATGGCCTTGTATACGAACCCTATAAAGTTGTCATAGCCTAGGTGAGTCGTTTATTTAGGTCATGTTGCGGCAACCATGCATAAGGGGTCAATCTTACAAACAAGGGTCCCGCCGTGGTGTGGAGGCCCTTGCTTGCGATCGCGAAGTTGATAAGGGATATGGAGTTCCAACTTCAAATAATTATCGAAATAACAGCGAGACGTACCTGAAATTCACTGCGTCAGTAGATAAAATTGATACTCCAATGGAAGCAAGCAGAGTATTATATGAAGTCGGCTTAAAAAAAAAAAGTAATGGTTAAATTCAAGTCTCCCGGTTTTTGAATCCGACTGGCCGATTGTACCTGCTGACATAGGCCATGGCCTTGTAAGTTGAGTTGGGGACTACAAAAAATGCATTGACCGTTTCTTTCATTTGGCGATTGAAAATCATGCTAAAAAATATAGAATCGAAATAAAGTATTTGTACCTTGATCTTTCCTACTCTTCAGACTTGTTCACAGTTTAGCTTGCTGTTGACACTATATACCCCCCTCTTAACAGCCTACGTCACGGATGACGAGAGAATATTTCTGATTCCCACAGCTGTTTATTCTTCACCCGAAACAATGCTTCGTCAATGATTTGCAATTGGCGCCGGCGACCGTTTAGTTTAGCTGTTGGTAACATAAAAACTGATACAACTTTCATTTGGACTTTAGTGTTCCTGTATTAGCTGATGAATCTATTTATATTCTTCCTAATATTAGCTCAACTAGTTCTTTCCGTAATTATTAGTCAAGTTTTAGCAGGATGAGCCAAAGGAAAGTTAAGTATAGAAGGCACAAAAATGTTAAATTTGGTAATTATCATGGTAATAGTCCGAAACTCGTTTTAAAAAATATAGGTTTGGCACATGATAGTCCATACATCTTTCGCCCAATATTGCGTCATCCCAACAATATCAATGATATCCAACTGCCCATTGGTGTAGTACAACGATGTCGGCATATTCACTAACGTTTATGGGTCATTCCGAATTAAAGATAAGCCCACCCATGTATGAGCTTAAAATTGGATATGTATCTATTGACGTTTTGTAAAACTAAGAATTGCGCTAATCATGCATTCTCCAAGAGGAAGTTTTGGTTTAAATTAACCTACTTCAGAGAACAAAGACTGTGATTATTCAAAGAACATGCATACAAACATGTGCGCGTGCATGTTATGCATCACGGTTTGGTAAGCATAATTGCAACGTCATCGCCAATAATGAAACTTTGGTCCCCTCTGCTTACTCCCCCTCTCTCAACGGTCACGTCACGATCACGGATGAGCAGACAATTTTATATTCTGGTCCGATGTACTAGTAGGTTCCCCACTGCTCACCTCCCGAATATAATTTCTAAACTCCCCCCACCCCTCCCCTAAACTGTTCTTTCTGCTGGTCCACAAAGGGCCGCTTTTTTGTCCAGTGTTAGTACAGCTGGAAGCCGAAACTAATCTTTAGTGAGTTCTGCATGGCTAGCTCTATTGTATTTAACTCCCAGTTCTTCTGCCAAAGAGTTCCAGTAAGGACCATCTCTACACTGATGTTGAATCAACTCCAGAAGTGTTATTCTGTCACCAAATAATGAGAGACAGAATGACACTTTAGGAGTTAATTCAACTCTTTGAAAGTTGTATAGGTAATCGCATGCATGGGGCCCAGTAAAATTAAGGTTTAATTTCACGCGTGTTTTCAAAGTGTCACAAATTGCTCGAGTCGCGAAGCGACGAGGGCATTTTGTGAAACTTTGAAAACACACTTTGAAGGAACTATGGAAGGAAGTGGAGGAACTATGCGATTACTTGTTAATAATAGAGGGCAAAATTTATTCGTAAGTTAATTGTGAACTCGTCAAGTTCTTGAACCTCGTATGTCTCCATGTCTTCGCCGATGTTTCGTAATGCCGCCCTGAATTAAGAAAAAAATGCCCTCCTCATTAGCCAATCATATCTGAGTAATTTTGCCCTCTGTATGATTAGCAGTATAATTAGATAGTACACGTTATCACTAAAGGAAGGAAGCTAAAGTAATTTCATTCGCTATTGACTAACTGCAACATTTTTAAACTCTCCTTCATAGAGGTCCAGTTGACTTCATAAGTTAGCCGAAAAAAGACAAAAACCTTGCAATCATGCAGCTGAGCTGGGTCAACTTTTTGACAGTCCTCAGAACGCTTAAAACTTCATGTTTTTGTATGGCAGACTATTCAATTGTATCGTCTAGATCTGAAATATTTGATCTATTTTGAACAGTGAGCTTTATGACTTTGACGCACTGCCACCTTTCAATATATTTTACCAGCTTGTGACGTCATAGATTTATTTCATTTGCATATCAAACAAACTAAAATATCTCAAGAATGGCAAGGGGTAAAAGAATGTTGTAAAATATTTTATTTCTTAGTTTAACGAGTTCTTTCTCTCCAAACAGACGTTAATTTTATTGCTATTACTCTTAAATATTGAATATATTAAAAAAGGCTGAAATAACCCTAAACAATAAACCTGATTGAGAGCCCATATGTAAGCGTGGTTGCCTCCATCGTGGACATAACTGGTTGAGACTACATTTCCTTATATCATGCAAAATTCGCTTATTCCTTATGATCATAAGTTCGCTGTGACAACTATATTTGTTGCGCTTTGTAATGTAATGAGTACAATGTGTACAATGTAATGTGCATTAACTGTAAAATTTTGTTGAATGATCTCAACCGTTCTGCGCAAGATTGTAGTTCATGTGGCATGTTTATATCAGTCGCATTTATTAAATGCACAAAGCACAAAAATAGATTGCTAAATCTCTATTTCACCGTGATTGTCATTTAAAGTAAATAATGATAATAATTGAAAAAAGACTACAAACGACCTGGTCATACGACATTATGTGATATGTACACTAAATTATTACTCATCATGTTCAAATTGTAATGAGTTCTTCTTCCCAAAGTAAATTCTAGTTAGGTATTCCCAAATTATCTAAGTTCTAATTTCTAGTTCTCAGATTAATGAATCAAATTAATTATGATTGCTGGTTCTGAGTTTAAGTGCAGACCGGAGAACCATAACAATAACATCGTCCTACAAATCCATACGAACATCTGCTTCCATATTGCCCGGCTGCTCGGGCTCTCTGATCTCACTGTTGCCAATTGTTGTGCCAGCAGTTATGACCACATTCTGTGTTTGGCACGTTTACACAACGTGGTGGACCGTAACAAAAACAGGTACCGCCCCAAAAGTACGGGTAATGACATCTCTTATTTTCTGCTACAAAGCCATGTTTTCTTTCTTCTGAATCACGCGTTCCCCAATCATTGCGTCAACAGTTGTCACCACACGTAAAAGCCGACCCCATGACGTTGCAAATTGCGAAAATCAAAAGAATCAAAGTCAATATGCGTACCAACACTTTGGAAACCATCAGTGGCGCCGCCAGGATTTTTTTTTTGAGGGGCAAAATGGGATATGTCATTTTTCAAAACACATTCTTTCTAGGGGGTCCGGGGACCTATGGTCCCCCGGGAAAATTTCGAAATTAGGGTTTCCGAAACGACATTTCCTGCATTTTTAGAGCACTTTGGAGCAAAATATGAAGGTCTCAAATCACAATTGTAAGAATGTGAACAACGACGTAAATCGCCAATTTTTAAACTTATGTTCAATTTTAAGAATATATCCGTCCAAACCAAATGCTAAAAAAACCCAGAACAAAACCCAGTAGATGCGCAAATTACGCAATAAAGTCCGCTAACAAAGTTTATCCCTCCCCCAGGTAATTTCTCATCGGATTTGGACGAGTCTGAAACCTCACTCTGAAAAATATTGGGGGGGGGGGGGCTTTAGGTGAGTCGTTTATTTACTTTATTTTATATATATGCAGGTCACGGCTTGTGGAAAACAATAAGGGATATATGGAGTCCAATGGTAGTTCTGACATAGGCCATAAGATTTGTTAGATCGTTATATAGTTGAGTCGTTGACTGCAAAAATGCGTTGACCGTTTCTTTCGTTTAGCTATTGAAAATCATGCTAAAAGATATACGCCTGAATTCTAAAAGCTCACTCACACTCTCACTCAACGAGTGGAGATTCAATCTGAGCTTTTGTTGAGTGAGTAGTCACATAGTAAGGTACGACACTACCCTCCAGCTATTCAAAAACAGCATTGACACTCAAGAGAAACTTAGCTAGATTGAACCTCCAAGTCTTTGAGTGTGAGTGAGCTTTTAGAATACGGGCGATATAATTGAAATAAAGTAGTTGTACCTTGATCTTTCTTATACTCTTCAGATCAGACTTGTTCAAAGTCCAGCTTGCGGTTGGTATTCTGGTCTCATGTACTAGGTTCTCACTTCCCCTCTCTCAACGGTTCACCTTGATCCCCCTGTGCTTGCTTCCGCTTTCTCAACGGTCCACGCCACGTCACGATATTCTGGTCTGATGTACTAGGTTCCCCTCTGCTCACTTCCAGAATATAATTCAGTTCTATAAACTGCTCATTCTGGTTGTCCAGAAAGCCCCCCCCCCCCCCCGAAAGGGCCGCTTTTTTATCTAGTGTCTGTACAGCAGGAGGCCGCGAAACTAGTTTTAGTGAGTACTTATTCTGTCACCAAAAACGACGAGAGACAGAATAACACTTTTGGAGTTGATTCAACTCTTTGAAATTTACAGTGTACTAGTCCACACTAATTACTAAAGGAAGAAAGCTAAACTATAAAAGTAATTTTATTCGCTATTGAATAACTGCAACATTTTTAAACTGTCCTTCATAGAGGTCCAGTTGGCTTCATAAGTTATCCGAAAAAAAGCAAAAAACCTTGCGATCATGCATCGTTACAGTCAAACTAGAAACTAAGAGGCGGTACCTCGTCTATGACTTGGCCGTGGGGAACGTTTAGTTTAGCCGTTGGTAACAGCCAAAATACAACTTTGATTAAGTGTTTCTATACTAGCTGATAAATGTATTTATATTCTTCCTAATATTGGCTTAACTAGACTTATCCTAATTATTAGTCAAGTTTTAACAGAATGAACTTAAGGAAAGTTAAGTATAGTCCGTATATAGAAGGCACAAAAATTTTAAATTTGGTATTTCGGATGGTCAAAATCCGACATGCATCTTTCGCCCAATACTGCGCCATCCCAATAATATAAATGCACATATATGGTGTCGCGCGGTAAGAATACCAACTGCCCATTGGTGTATACAATAGAGTCGACCATATTCACTAATGCTTATATGCCATT